GGTTATTTTAACCAATGAGCGTGTGTAGGTCGATTAAGAGGTCCCATTTGACCCCATTTGGCTGTCTTACGCAACGCCTGAGTTGTGCAATCCACGCTACGCAGTGCTGTGCCGGTTATTCAATGTACGTAAATGTACGTAGAGGAACTCGCAATCGTTCGTTGAGTAAACACAGCCGCCGCTGCCAGATGAACTTGCCCGCGTTCTGCAGGGAACTGCGATTTCGTTGGAGCAAGCGGTCAGGTAGACGTGAGAATGCTGTGACGGGAGGGATACGTGACCCCAATAAAGGATGATTACTCTGTCACAGAGGGTGGGGTTGCCTTCAAACGGAAGGCAGGGACCAACTAGCCCTGTGACACTGTAGTATCTTTTAACCAGCCGAATATGACGTTTTGTATAATTGGACAACTGTGGCCGAAGAACTAGGTTAAGGCAACATGCATTTGGCTTGCAGGAATGCGAAGATTGTCGCCAATATGAACCCTCGATTGAATATTGATTCACTCAAGCAATCAAGTTGTGTCCAAATACTGAACTTTATGCAGGTAGCTCTATAGTCTCTGTATGTTTATGACCGCATATATCACTCAGACAGACAATATAGAAATACAACTGCTCCCAGCAAATGAGATGGTATAGGTAGGGAAATAAAGTGTGCAAGTTAACACTATATTACGTAGAGAAAGCACTTTGGGAATCGATGGTTTATTATGTGCATTTTCGAAGCTGGAACCCCGCTTCGTCGTCAGATGTAGAGAAAAGTGAATGGGCCCACAGACCAACGAATACTCTGCGAAATCAGCTCGCTCACCCTTAGGATGGGGTTGGCTACTTGGAAAGAAAAGAAGTCATCTACAATATCCCTTGTGGCGGATGCAATGCAGTTTATTGCTGACAGACAGGAAGATCAGCCTCCACACGCTTACGCAAACATCAACGAGCGGTAAAGGGGTGATAACACTTGCTCGATGTCGTCATGCACACATTAGAAATTGGACACCAATTTGCATGGAACGAAACTCGCATTGTTAGCTCTTGTCCATACAAGGAAGGCCGCAGATTCCTCGAAGCTATGCATTCGGACGCACAATGCATCAACAGGCACACCGAGTTAGAATCTTCGTATCGAAGTCTCAAGCAGAAGTGGCCAAGACGCGAGCCAATCCAAAGGGAATGAAAAACACGGCAAAAAGGTACTGGCGCAAGCGCCATGCACAGCGTTTTCGATTTTCTCACGGACTTTCGATGTTAGCTGTTGGCCGTTTTGGCCCATTCACTTTTCTCTACGTCTGACGACGAAGCGGGGCTCTAGCTTCGAAAGTTCATCTAATAAATCATTGTTTCTCAACGTGCTTTCTCTACATAATTATACTTTTTGCTATGCCGATTTTCCAATTTAAAAAGTATGTCTTTATTTTTTTTAAGAAATTACCTATTTGACTAGCAACTCCACCAAGCGGAAGGTCTGCTGAGGCTGAAAAATAAGGCAAGGATGCATTGAAACGAAAGAGAATTCCTAACGTTGTTTACGCTCAAGCAAATCATATTTTACTTGAAAAACCATAAGCAGCGTCAAATACATGGTTTCATAACATTTGTATGTGACTGCTTTCAAATGTCAGCATTTGTGTCAATATCCAGTTGTCCTCTGTTTTTATTGCGTTGTTTCACCCAATTATAACTTCTTTCTCATAGTTTATTCAATATTACGTTGAAAAGTGTCTGCCTTTTCGGTATTCCTAAGAAGATAAATTAAAAACGTCTACATGTTTACCCGTAAAATACAACATTTTCGTATACTCAATCCCTTCCCCCCCCCAACGACCCCATTCTTGTATTACGTACTATTACTAAACCTATTTCTTGTTATTCAAGTTGTTCTGAAGATAAGTACACTTTACTTTCGGTTGTTGGGGTTAGCGCTCGACTTAGGCATATAGATTGTCACTATGCATACTGCTCAGGAATAGCGATGAAAGTGCGGATAGGGGTTACTATTTAGATGGCATGTTAAAACTAGGCTCTTGCTTTGAGGTACGCCGACTGATCCTGTCAAATTCAATTATATATTCGACTAGGACTGCCATGATAGTCGCATAAAATTATCGAATCCACTTATTGATAATTTCTTCCTGCGGTTCGTTCCAATGAAATATCTAACCATATTCCTCGTTTTTTTGCAATTTCCGCCCGTCAACCTCTTCTTATTTCCAGTTTTATAAAAGAAGCGCTTACATTCCTAATTGTGACAGTTTTTATAAATTGTATGGCATAAATGTATCCTTATAAGTCCTGATTATAGGAAATGAGTCTCCCACAGTCTCGTTTACCCCACTATCCCAATGTCGTAAAAGGTGACTTTTTGTGCTGGCTACATTTCTGAGCGTTTTTGTATGCTTGGAGACCAGTGAGTACTCTGGCTTAAGTACAAATAGAGAGATAGGACCTCGATTTGTCCATTTCAACTGATGGAAATCTTAGCCTCCTCAGAATAGAAAAAAAAATATTTTGCACATATCCAAAAACCGTACGAAATTAAGTATTACTCACCGCGCCAATCCACGTTGTAGGTCAATACGATGTGAGGAATGGCCGGATCCAGATAACAGTAGAAAAATTCGACATCACCCTGGGAAGCTTTCACCCGGCGAATGTGTATCAGGTTTTTCCCGGCCACTACCACCCCTGAAGAAACGTAAGTAAAATAAGTGGTATTCAGGCGACGAAATGTTTTCGAATAAAGACAGGCCTGGTACCGTTAATGGGCGAACAATGCATACTGTAGTTGGCAATTAACGCAGCTATATGCCTTGCCATAAATGAATAGGACTGCAATGGAAACTCCTTAACTCACGGCATTTGTTCTTCACCTTCGTTGTTGAAACTCCTTTGCACATTTTTCTGCCATCGCGAAAACATTCAAACTACAACAGGAGAAGAATGCAGTTGTTCGTTTATGCGGGGCAGTCTATCACTTTAAGAGAGAATGCCATCTTTCGGCCAGCAATGGGTCACTTACTGTAGACCTACTCGTTAGGTTTCCGGGGAATTGCCACGCCAACATTGTTGCCTTATATTGGGGGCATTTGGTTAAGCGCATGTTTTTTCCGACGATAAAGCGATCTGAAAGGTTGAGGAGACAGCGACGGGAGATTACACAAAATCAGTGCAGCCATGCCCCAAATGTTTAAGGACATCTGTTCGCGAAAAGATGAATCAATGGACTGCGTTCAGGATATATGCAACATACCTTCACGGGATTTGTCCTTAACGTAATTTTCGATCCTGTGAAGGGTTACGGGATAGTAGCTGTTGATGAAAATTGCGTCGGCGTCCCCGAGGTTTTTCAAGGCGATATTCGTTGCAGTATAATCCTGATCTACGTGTTATAAGTAGAGTTAAAATATCACAGTTAGTATCCGCTGGCTTATAACTACTGAATCATTTGGTATCACCACTTAGGTGATGTAAATTGCGCAACGTACCATAATCGTACGCACACCTATATTTCACGTTACCGATGTAGCAACATTCTTTGCTATGCCACGTGGAATAAAACGGGGTGTCTCCAATGTATCCATTCTGTCAAAAGAAAAAATTGAAGGATGTAAGATGACAGGCTCATAATGACTACGAAAGCAGTCACAACTGGTTGTGGAAATATCGAAAATAGCAGCAGCTCACCCTATATTTTCCACTGCGGACAGAAGTAAACCGGAATGGACCTCTCTCACTGGTATAAGTCCGACGGTCCCAGTCGCAGATTCCGACAGCCTTCCTGGGAATCAGAGATTCGGGATCGTGAGTTATACAACAAGGTCCATACATTATTTATACACCTGGATAATCAGAAAAGCAAGGTGTACTCGTTAGTTGCTTAAGCAGGTGCCATCGGCCCATCATCCGAAGAAATAAAAACATTACACATACCTGGGAATGCCCTACAGTGAAAATTAGCGGCAGTGATAGGCCATAGGTATCACCAAAGTTTGTCTGAATCCCGGAGCTAGGTTTTACGTGCTATCCAGTAAACAACATATATCAAGAGGAAACAAATGTTATGATCTGCGAAAAAACCCATTTATTAATACTATGTTACAGTTGTATCTGAGAACGCACATATCTCGAGTGTAGATATATTCATTTAAATTGCGTTTTAATAGTTCTGCAGATGCATTCGCAGTATACAAAATGGTAAAGTGTCATTTACAGAATGCACTACCGCTACATAGAAAAGAAATATTTTATACATAACCGTCTTTCTCCCATTCAAAGTTTTGGGTTTATTGATTCCTATGGTGATACCTATTAGCTATCCTTATCCACTTACTCTAACTAAGCGAAAGGTAAACCATGAAGGAACGCAAATATGAAGAACTATTGTATATGCTTCACTTTCTTTAACTGTACCTTATAATTATTTTTGCTGTCTTGCCAACCCTGAGCTCTCCATGTTATCATCGCTCCTTATCAACGATGTTATATATGAATAATAAAGAAGAAATAAAAAAGGATGGAACGTACACTTGCGTGGCATTGAATGCGGTGACAGCGAGAAACAGAAGCAGATTTGGACCGGTTGCAACACTCATTGTATCTGTACAGTAGAGAGCAGATGCTCTTCGCCCCCCCATTTTATATGCCATTCAAAAGGCCCCAATCGATTGGCCGGTGCTGATTGGTGCATATTTGCGCCAGCTCTTCCGTTGTTGTTGTTGTTGTTGCGGGGCGAAAAGCACCAAATCACCTACAACGCTCACAGAGAACTGCCCTTCTCGCAAGGCGACTAGGCAGTAGAGCCAAAGACTGTCACAAAAGCAGAAGGTGTTCTAATTATGCGACTTAACACGATTAGGAGATAAAATAACCGCAAAGTTTCATGTCTTGAGTTTGCGTTGCCGCTATAGACAAACTATATTCGAAAAAAACGATTCCGATGACAAGTTGTCCGTGTGGTTGGCATACAATAAAATGATGTTCTATCTCCGAAACATGAATGAGTAACCGCAAAACCCTCAAAACTTGATCGCAATTTTTCTATTGGTCTCTTTCTTGGTAAGGGGGCTTAAATATTCCAGTGGAAACATGACTTTAAAAAAAATTGGTTTGCATCCTATGGCTAACAAAGTGGCCGACCGAACACGCCTGAAAACACTGAAGTTTGATTGTGTATTCATGACCCCAA